TCCGTTCAGATGGGTTTAATACAGTAGTTTTTTCATGTGTAGTCTCAGATTGAATAATAGTGGTTTCGTCAGTTCGTTCAGTACTCGGGGTATCGTCTTTTGTAGATGATTGAGATTGGTGTGTGGTTTGATCAGTATATTTCGATACAGTGGTATCTCCGGATGTCGTTTCCGGGTAAACATGAGGAGTTGTATCGGTTTGTTCAGATGACGTGGTATCTGTTGGAGAAGTTCTAATCGTTTTGTCTGTAGTGTGTTCAGTCGGTTTTGATTCAGTTGTCTCTTCAAAAGAAGTTTCAGATGAAGTATGTATAGTAGTATCTGTTTCATTTGATATTGTGGTTTCTCCTATTGTTGTTTCTGTAACAGGTTGAGTTATTATTGCAGTAGTTGTTTGTGATTTTTGGGTAGTTGTTTTTGTTGGTTCATCAGTTGTGGTATAGTCCTGTGAACATCCTGTGTTTTGATTCACAATTTCATGATATTTGTTATACCAGTAAAGGTTGTTTTTCACTTGCTTATACGATTCATTAAATTCTTTTCTGAGGTCTTCTGGCGTGTTTGGATCATCTTTTAAATTTGTTAACTAAATTTTGAAAATAATATTTTTATCTGTTATATTCATTATTTTTTACTTTTCTCATTTTAATTCTATATATTATTTCTTACTTTATTGATTTCGGAATCAAGTGCTGCTTTTGATGTACATATAGAATAAATAAATATTGCTATATTGTTTCCGTCAGTATGCTTTTTTGTAATTTTGTTTAAATTGTTCACTAAAAAATCTATTAAGACTTCAAGTCCTTTTGGCGTGGAGGATATTGCACTAAATACATCTTTAAAGTCTTGTTTTCGAATTGGTCCATCGCTTTCTAATGTATAATTTAAATATCTAAAAAACAATTTGTTTATTATTAATTTAAATTTGAACGTATTTTAATCAATTATTTAAAATGAATGTGCGAAAATAAATTCGTTTATCATGTTTCATTTAATAATTTAATCTCACACATTTTCTTACCTTGACAATAGCTGATCATCTTCTGTACAAGCCATTGCTGTTTGTGCTGACTGTTTTTCTGAAGGTGATCTTGTCTTTGTATACAAATCAAGCATTTGTTCCCATGTTGAGGTGTCATTTGTTATATGAATACCAACACAGAATGCAGCGTCTCTAATATCTGAAGGTATTCTGTACAAATATACAGTTAWCTATTTTTGTTTTTTCATTCAACCAAAAATTAAAATTTATCGGTCAAACAGCACAATTTCACTGTCTTAAAATAGGTATGTTTTATTCTTTAAGGTAGAGTTATATTACGTGAGTCAATTTTCACATAATACTATTGAACTTGTTCTAATTACTTTTCTCCGTTTTGCCATTTGGTGTAGTAATCATACGCCGATTCTATGCACTTCTCATTATTTAACTGGCATGCCCATTCGGAAAATGCGTTCCAACTGGTTAGGATAATATGATCTGTGTTATTTTTTTCAACTACTTGGTCTTCCGTTTTTTTATAAATAATACCTGCTAAGTTACTGACGCATTTCTGTTTAATAAAAATCAAATATATAATAATACTGTTATGAGTTTCTCTTATGCAAAATACCATTTTATTTTGATGTTTATAATTAATCTTGTATCATATTTATATTTTTATCAAACAAATGTATATTAGTTATCCTTTATATATTAGTATTTATTTTCTCTAGTTTTCGAGAAAAATATTGATTTATCTGATGCGTAAATATTGTCTTTGTTTATATCTATAGCTTAAGCGAACACTATACATTCTATTAATAGAATATTTATATTTCACTAAATGTGTATAATATTAAATTATCTATTGTCATGATTAAAACATAATACGCATTTTTTAATAAAATTGGTAAAAATTAATTTTGAAATATCAACACAAGCTAAATATTGAACCATATAATTTGTATTTATTATGTATAATTTTTTGTTTCATATAATACCTTCATAAAACAAATAGTTAAATAATATGACACATTAAATGCGTATTTATAGTTTATACCCACTCTTAAATCGGAATATTCAGTATCATTACGCCGCATGCGTTCTATTAGGTATGAATATCCGTTCATCGCAGAATACCATGGTAACACGTCATCTTCTATTTTTAAATATGACGATATTCTCAATGGGAAGGAATAATGTAACTTATCAGCTCTGGCCAAGAAGAAAGAGTCGTCAACCAATTGAGCACGATTGAGTACATGAATTTCATTAGGCGTCTCTTTCAATTGTCTGATCAATGATGACCAATTGTCTGTGTCATAGTTAACCCTGTAAAACCCTATAAATTCAATAAGTACATTATAAAATAACGAAGAGCCATTTTTGAATAATTGAATTCAAATTACCAGTGGATTGTACATTGAATATGAACCACCCCGGATCTTGTGGAGCTGACAGAATACATCTGTCTATCGTAGGCTTACACCAAGTGGCCAACGCTAAATTTTCGAAATTTTTAGACGATTCGGTTGTATAAGTGATCCCAATGTACCATCTAGATGAATCAATAATTTTTTCAGGAGTGTCCATTAGGCACCTTTCCTATAAAGGTTTTAGTATTACAATCGATCAAAGTTTGTATCCGCAATGCAAAATGTACTTGAGTTATGATAAACTCGTCGTTGACTTTTACTACATTTATCATTGGATATCCAGCTTGTTCCGTCCATCGTTTCATGAAATTAGTGACATTGACATCCTGCCCAAAATCAAATTGATATTCAGCTATAGTGTCTTCAAATGCCGCAAACAACTTGTCGGGGTCTACCGATTCATACCTACATTGACATCAACGAAATACTGTGGTCATAAAAATATTTTCCAAAAAGTTATATCTTTTATCCGGTGGATAAAGAGAACATATTATACCGTTTTTGACTAGTAAAATGTTCAATTGAACTAAACTTCTTAATAAAAACGATAGTAATTATTAAAAAAATCTTGTTATATTATATGATTTATAASGCAATTGAACTAAAMGTCTTAATAAAAACGATAGTAATTATTAAAAATATCTTGTTATATTATATGATTTATAAAGGCACTTGATGTGTTCTTTCATAAAAATGCACTAACCAAAAAAACACCATAATATCATTGTTTCATCGAAATTCATATGACCAAAATGAAAAGAATTTTTGATAGTCACAGCAAACAAAACCAATGTCTATTGTGGTATAATTATGATAAATATATAAAACGATGATAAGAACATACTTGTACAGTTTCAAAAATCGGACCAATGACTGCTCGAATATAGTATCGTTGGTGCAGCACTTTAACATGCGCAAGAATGCTGCGGCCTTTCGGTCAGTTTGATCATAAAACACGTCATTGATATCATCTGGAGTTTGCACGGACGCAGTAATCGCACGCCTAGGCGATTGATCATATTCTAAAGCCCACTGGTGCTGTTCAATTACGAACATCTGGTTCATTCTCCAATCGGGATAGACCTAAATATAATAAAGTAATGTTCGACTTTATCATTTTCAATCTCGTAGTAATATACAACAATTCAATTTGGAACTTATAGCATCAAAAACGCTAAAATATGAGCCACAACAAATATATTTTACATCCTTAAACATGCAAACAAGAGTACAATTTTTGATAGGTTACACATTTATGAACTGTCTATAGCAATACAATGCACAGTTCATAATGTATAAAAAAAGATTATTTTCCCTGCAATTTGCCAATTTGGAATTTAAAAAAAAAATGTTACTAAAACTTAAAATTGAGTGTTTATTAGGTATATTATGTTTTATCAATCAACGAAGGTTTAGTTATTTCGTTATTCAAAGTTCAAAAATATTCAAGAAAAAATCTAGTTAAGTGTTGTAAACAAAAAAAAAGGTAAAATTCCCTTTAAAGTATCAACATTCTACATTATAAACAAAATATACTTATAAATCTGAATATTCTGTCATTCAAATAATAAATAAATAATTTATAAAATGCTGTATAATGCTTCACTACATCCGAAACGGATTTTTAATTGCTATAAGTTCCAAACAATGTGAAGACAATATACATWGCTAATTTTAATTAAATCAACAGTACGTTAGGCGTGTCTGGGGATATTTGACAATTTGAACCAGGTTTTGTCAGCTGAATCAAGCCGATACCTGATATCGGTTAATCTAAGTAATGAAAATACTGGATACTGTATCAGATTTGATACCAAAATATTGTCCATACCAGTATTATACATATATTCCAAAATTCAAGGTAAACTATTTTTTATGTAAAAATATTTTAAAGGTAATACAAATAGAAAAATTGTATCATTAAATATTATTTTAATTCGACTATTTACTATCAATTAATATTCCTAATAACTTTGAGTAAATATATTAATTAATTAATAATGTTAATATTATTTAGATGTTGGTATCTGGTACAAAATATACCAAATAAATAAGATAAAACTTATATTTATCTATAAAATATCTGTAAAATTTTTAAAAATATCAGGGAACAATAATTTTATTATGAAACAATAGTACAATACYCTATGCTTTCTAAACTTAACAAAACGGTACCTAGCGCAAGTTTTTTTATCAGTAGGTATCCGACATTTTAAGAAGATATGATTACTAGTTCTCATTTTTTCAATCTGTACCAGATTTTATTTTGAAGAACCTGCAATTATTACAATTCCTRAATTCTTTATTTCAGATACAAAGCCCTGGTTCAATGAAAGTAAGTTATAATTCGAACGATTGCCGTATTCTCCAGATGCGCCAGACGTATACTTGAGTTAATCGGTCAGCGGCAGCTTTACGCCCCCGTACCGTGTCCATGGAAAAGTACTGAAAGTACGAGGCAAATGCGTCATGCAGCCACATATAGTCCCACCAAGAGCACGTGACCAGGTTTCCGAACCACTGACGGGCCATCTCACGCTGAACCATTGATAGCCCAAGTTCCTTGGCTTTGGTGCTGGACACATCATCCAGTAGCAAATACTTTTCACTAAAATGAAAACGAAATAAATACATTATTCCAAGCCTGTCGCAGAAAGTAAAGGTTGCTTTTTTGAGCATGGWTTTCGTGCGATAATTATTATCTTATTTAATTTCATTCAAAATAGAAAACTAGCGAGAGCGATGAGATACTTTTTAACAAACCGTTAATGTTTCAAATTCAGTACGCCATCTATACTTATATTATAAAGAAGGACACTGTTTCAAGAATCTATAGTCTATAGACTAAATTTTTCTTATAGAATGCCACAACCACGTGTGTTGTCTCCGTCGTACAAGTGCGTAGCATAGAAAATATTACGCTCAGCAGATCGAGGTTTATCTTCGTTTGTTTAAAATTTAGAGTGAAAGAACCTATTATAAAAATAAAAGGAAACATTATTCTAGGGCATCTCATGGKATTTCTATTATATTTTAATTTTAAAGCAGGTTATGAGTATTTTTAGAGATACAAACAATTTACAATTTTAAAATATTCATAACTCACTTTAAAATTAAAATATAATAAAAAGCCCATGGGATATCCTTGATAATAATCTTGMATTTGATTGTTACCGATAAGTCAAACGAATATAAATCATTTTTTGATCATGGATTTTTTAGAKACCTATATTTATGTGAATATGATTGAGATAGTACAATGTTTTGCATAATACATTTGACGAGCAGTCTTACCGAAATGTGTTCAGTCCCCAGTTTCCCACGGCATCTGACTTGAAATCCGGCACGGCGAACAGGTCCAGTTTGGGTAACTCGTACCGCATTTTCGTAAAGCTCTCCATGGCCACCAGCAGCTTAGGTGCCTCACTGGAAACGTATTTCACCTGGTCTAAACGGTTGGCGTCTGCGAACACATATACGGAACTATCACCGGAAAYGCTTTCGACCGTCATCGAGTCAAATCCGCTGATGACAAACGCAACCATATACGTGGAAATCGGTGGAGTCTCGACGAAAATGTCACGCATCTCTTGTACGGATGAACTGAAATCATTTTTCGTTCCCACTTGATCAGCTATTCGTATAATATAATAATTAAATCAAGGTTTTTGATCCTATTTATTTATTCAGTTGTCGAGTGCTGAATGTATTCGGATTCCAAACATCGTAATAACAAGATAATATACAGGAATTAATGCAGAATTATTGATTTCAGATTAATGCTTATTCTAGCAGACGATTAATCATAAAGTTAATGTGTATAACACGAGTTATATAATAATATGATATAATAATTATATCATACTGTGTATTAGTATATTATTACCTATATGAATTTACGAATTACAATTATCGTAGGTCCTAGCTGTTACGCTTCAAAAACAAAACAAGTAGGTACCTAGGTTGTTAATTTGCCCACATATTATAGGTATTTAATATATTTTATTCACTTCAAGCATCAATATTTACAGCAGAAACGATGACAATATACAAAGTCGTAAAATATCTTCACACAGAATACGCAAACC